GTTTCTCAGGCACTTTGAAAATTACAAATGTGCAAAGTTGGAGCAGAAATCTTGTATTACTTCCGAAAAATTTCATTTACTAGTCACTCGTTCTAGATAAAATGAGCGTAAACGCTTTAATCGAAGTGATCAAGAATCAAAAGCAAATCATTGAGCAGCAGAAAGCATATTTATCACAGCTTGATTCTGCTGTTGCTGATGATCAACAACGGGAGATTATCCAGGTCTTTTTTTTTTGCAACATATCTTCCTGTCGTAGCTGCTACGTAATGGCTTAATGGGCTGGTTTTGTTATCGTGCTGCAGGTCGAAGGATCGACTGCTCCGATGGGATAACCAATTCTCTCTTCGATTCGTTCATTCATTTCGGTGATAAATTAGTACTACTGATCTTCGTCAGGAAGTCAAACCCGCCATCAGCTTGCTTGTAATCAACCCTCCCTCGAAAGAGGGAGCCATCGAAATCCTTGCCAGTGGGTGTTGCTGTTGGTATTTGCTACCACTCAAGCTACTTCCTGAGTGCCTCCACTTCTCACTGAGTACGTATACGGAGAGTGTTTTTGACTGCTTTCCACTGTCAACAAGTGGCTGTTTGATTTTTTCTCTGCGAATGGGTTTGAAGGTTTTGTTATAATAATTAGTAATAATGGCAATAATAATAACAACAATAATAATAACAATAATAGTAATAACAATAATAATAACGATAATAATAGTAACAATAATAATAATAATAATATTGGTGATGATGGTGATAATGGTGATGGTAGTAATAACAATATTAACATTAATACTGATATTAATAAAAATAGTAGTAGAAGCATCCTTCTTTTAGTTGCAACTGCTAAACTAACTCCTCAGCACTTCAAAACCGCAGCAGTTCCCAAGTGTATTATTTGTCCCATCAACGATGGGCACTTCAAACTACGCCAGTACATTTCTTCAAAATGCTTGGTATTGAAAGGGTAGTTTTCGTGTTGTCCACAAGGTAATGCGAAATAAAATCGTTGCAGCTGGAACGACAACAAGAAAATCTGCGGGCAGTGTTATATCCGTTGAGGAAAAATGATTGGCCAAGCCGTTTGCAGTCGGAGCGCATCGCACTGCTCAGCATCACTGCGTCCATCAATGAGTTGAAGCAAAAATTGGAAGCAGTTGTGGCGTAATTTTTTTTTCTCTCTCATTTCCCGAAATATTTTGTATAAGCGAATATTCCAAAACATTGTCTATTTAAATTACTTTAATAAAATTTGCTAAACTTTGACATAGAAGTGAGCAGCAGTTCGCGTTTTTGATCAAAATGAGCCTCTTTTTTTTTGATTCGTACCTTGAAGAAATTTGTTTCAGCGAGATTCGACAGCGGACAGATGAGGAGCGCGAACTGCAGCTCAGTGTCTCAGCAGTGGAAGAGGAACTCAAGCAGCTGCAGGAGCAGGCATCA